GTTGGTCAATATCCTTGCGCCATTTTTGTGAACACAAACAACACAATCTATGTCGGTAATAAAGAAAAGAACACAATTGTAATATGGAAAGAAGAGAGTGTCAATCCAACAAAGATCATTTCTGGTAATTTTACAGGACCCATGTCTCTCTTTGTGACATCAAATGGTGATGTTTATATTGATGATGGTGAGAAGAATGGTCGAGTGCAGAAATGGATTGCAGAAACAAGTACCTTTGATACAGTGATGAATGTCAACTCATCATGTGATGGTTTGTTTGTCGACATCAATCATAGTCTTTACTGTTCAATGCCTGATCATCATCAAGTAGTGAAAAGATCATTGCATGATGCTGTGATGGCCTCAAATCGTGTTGCTGCTGGAACAGGTATTGGAGGATCAGCCTTGAATCAACTCAATAGTCCTCGTGGAATCTTTGTTGATGCGAATTTGGATTTATATGTGGCAGATTGCAACAATAATCGGGTTCAGTTATTTCAGCCAGGAGAATCAAATGGTGTCACAGTAGCTGGACAATATTTATTACTAAATCCAACATTTGAACTTCGTTGTCCAAGTGGAGTTATATTAGATGCTGCGAAATATTTATTCATTGTGGATAATAACAATCATCGTATTGTTCTTTCAGGCTTCAATGGTTTTCTATGTTTAGTTGGATGTTATGGAAAGAGTTCACAATCCAATCAGTTGAATAATCCGTATAGTTTAAGTTTCGATCGTTCTGGAAACATATTTGTCACTGATTCAGGAAATCATGGAATTCAAAAATTTCAATATTTGGAAGAATCATGTAGTAAGTTTAAAGTGATCGAATAAAGTCTCTAATATCACTTCAGTCAATATTTATTCAGAGAATTACAAAGAAAAAGTATCATAGAAGATGAAGAAGAAAATGAAACTCCTGATGGATTTCCTCCTGAATTATTGAATAGTTAAATTCAAATTTCAGATTTCATCCTAATATACTATCGTTATAAAGTAGAAACCTGGTTTATTCATAATTTTCTACAAAAGTCAATCGATAACATTATCGTCATGTTAGTGGCATGACACAGATGGAATTTAGAATGTCTATGTATTTAGTAGGAAAATTAGAGACGAATTTAGCCCTTTCTGTTGAACTTTCTTTATAAATTTTCTTTAATTCACCATTATCTGCGCTCACTTACCGCTGCTGACTAAAGAAAATAATGAATACAATGATTTTATGGAACGTAAGACATTCATGAGAAGGAAAACTTTTATCGAAATTCATCAAATCTTTATCGAACTAAAAACACTTCGAAGCAAATATCGATGTGAAGAAAAATCTCTCGCATCGAATTCCATATTTCAAAATAAAAAGTTTCACAAATTGCTTTGAAATCAACAAAAAGTCATTCTGCATAGTTGTTCAGTGTACTTTAAAACTCGTAGATATGAAAAATCTTTCAGAGAGAAATGACCCTATGCGCGAGTGTTGACAACAACCCGTGGCGCAATCATAGAGATTCCGAGTGTCACCTTTACTCTCCAGATGAGAAAACGATTATGTTATATTTGCGATCATGATTTTGCTTAACGAACGAGAATAGAATTAGGATTACCATAAAGGAGTGAGATTTAAACGTAGGCTAGTGTCTTCACATAAAAATGCCAACAACGAGAAGAAGGAAAAAGTTTCATTAATTCATACCTGATTATTCAAGACACGCTTTATTAAAATAAAAAATAATAAAAGAATCGCTCTTGTAATATTTTAACACTGGATCGAATGTCACTTCTAACCGATATTTTCTCTATGATGTCATGTCATACTCGTAGGTTAATTAGAACTTTATGAAATAGTTTCATCAGATAGTTTATTGTTATGCTTAGTGATATCGATAAAAAAACTAATGTTCTGCATTATATTTATAAAAGAGGAATAGTTTGAAAATAAAGATTATAATGAAGAAGTCATAAATTTGTAAGTCTATGACTTACCAGACTTTCTTAGTCCAGAATGATACTCATTTTTATATACCCGGTTTTATAATATTTCTTTATTATAATTATTACAATGTCTCTTGGAAAGAACATGCGAATTTTAAGAACGCTACATAGATAATTTATTTCATGTTTTTCTTTAATTCTCTATTAAAAGCATTGCTTTAAAACAAACGATTCAACTCTCATTAGCAAACAGAGTGAAAAGCAAACTAAAAATATGCGCAATCATTTCTTTTCTTTATTCTAAATACAAATACTCACTGATTTCTTTCATTTAATAGATAGCTCATTATCATTAATAAAATCAATGTATTCGTCAGCACTGACCTCGAATAGTTCAATTTATTTTCAAGATTGTTCACAGTTAGATTCTTATTATGAAGAGATACAAATGAACGTCAATATAACAGGCTATTATACTTTTCTAATCAACAGCGAAATGGAAACCACGCATGGTTATATCTACACAAATAACTTCAATCCATTTGATGTGTCCAAAAATGTCCTCAGACATAATGGAAACTATGAAAATCAAGGTCAATTTAAAGTCTTAACTGTTCTTGAAGCTGATATGAAATACATTTTCGTTCTGACAACATCTTTTCACAATTTAACAGGGAGCTTTTCAATTCAAGTATTCGGCCCTAGCTATATCGGTCTCAATCGTATTTGTAAGTATGTATAGTGTCTTAACGGATAATCAGCTACACTTATTCATCATCGGTAGAAAATATAGATTAACTCAATCCGCAAAATGATATACAGGTATTTCTATTCGATAGAGACTAAGATTCATATCACTTCGAGTCACTTTCGGTAAGTGTATTTGAGAGAGAAAGTAATATTTCAAATTATTTACACTTACTTACATACTATACAAAATTGAATCGATTTTCTTTTTCCTTAGTGAATAATGCATCAGTTGTTCAAACAACTTATATATCAGAATTGACAACGAACAGTTCAACGTATTTCTTTCGGTGTTCAGATTCTGAAAGTACTTATTATGAAGCGATACAAGTGAATGTTCGTAGAAGTGGTCTTTACACTTTCTTCAGTCAAAGCAGTATGGACACATACGGCTCTATTTACGAAGATTATTTCAATTCATCTAATTCAAATGAAAATAAACTCTCAAGTAATGATGACAGCTGCGAACAATATCAGTTTGGATTCACAATTGCTCTTGAAAACAGTATCACATATGTATTAGTTGTGACAGCGTATGGTATTTTTCAAACAGGTGCATTCTCGATCTTCGTATCCGGTCCAAGTAATATTGATCTCAAGAATATTAGTAAGTGTTTGTACTACAACTATTAAATGAATATCTGTCAACGTTAGCATGAGGATTTAGTTGAGTTTAGCATATCCACAAATAAACACTTGTTTTGTAAGATGACATTTGTATTATACGACGACAGTTTTATACAAACAGCTACATTAAATTCATCAAATAACAGAATATTGTGAATAGGATTAGATCAATCTCCTTGAATAAAGACCCATTTCAGTCGATCGCTAATGTGATATGAATAATATGCAAATCGGCATTAATCCCTGCTCGTGACTGTAAAATGAAGAACACTTTGCTATTTATAACAATCTACTCTATCGCTCAATGTTCCTATAAAAAAGAATGTTGCAAACATTTAAATACAGTGTATCGTAGATAAAAAGAATAAACATATTCTTACTCTGTATGAGTCTAAAAGATATCTTTACATTGTTTAATTTTTTGAATTAAATACAATAGTAGCAAAATTAGACTATAAATAAACAACCTTTTCTATCTAAAACGTTGTGACATTATCCATTTTTGAGATAAAGAAGTTATTCCAAACTCATTCGTGACATAGATTCTCGAGGGTTCGGATACAGAAAAATGTTTATAGATTCTGTTTTCGCTCTCCATTTACGGCTTGATTATTTTATTGAGACTAATATTATAGAAGTCATTTCTTCAGAAAGCTAGGCTCAGCTTCGACATGCCTTTCGATATTCAGGTTATATGATAGATGACTTATGGTGCTTAATTTTCTTCATTACATTCAGACGATTCGTTTTTCTCTCAGTCAGTCAAAATCTATCACGAATCTTGACTGTTATTTTTGTTTTTATCACATAGGCTATCCATCAGTCATCGAAATATCATATTCATCAGTTGTACAATCGAACTATTCATCAGAGTTGAATACGAGTAGTCAAATATATTCTCGAGATTGTCGAAAATCGAACTACTACTATGAAACTATACAAGTGAATGTAGTGGAGACTGGATACTATGCTCTCAGTAGTAACAGCAGTATGGATACATTTGGTGATATTTACAAAGACGATTTTAACCTGATGAATCGTTTTGAGAATTTACTCTCACAGGATTATCGAAGCTGTAGTCATCAAGATTTCAAGTTCATTGCTTATCTTCATACAGGCACAAAATACATATTAGTGATGACAACATCTTCTCCAAATATGACAGGAAACTTTTCCATTTTGGCATCTGGTCCAAATAATATCACTCTTGATCCTTACAGTAAGTATTTTGTATTATTTGCAAATCATCAACAGAGAAATACAACATTCCACTGGATTCTATTCTCACTCTTGAATAATAAAAGATCTGAGAATTTCAATTAGATCATATAATTCAATCAAATTATTGTCCAAA